TTAATAATACTCAATAGAAAATCTACAGAATCGTTGCTTTAAATAGGTTTTGTACATAAAAGCTGACCTAATCATTCAATCGTGTCTTTAGGCCACAGGATTCGACACAGATCCCTGAAATGCGGGATCATTGCCTTTGTATCTTAGGCTTATAGTATCTTATAGTCTCTATCCTTTTTCCATACACTGGTTGGCCTCTTTACATAAAGTCACATGTAGTTCACAACACTCTTATTTCATATAATGACCGCTTTTGTCACAATTCATTCATATTAAGTTTGCATTACTGATCATGTCAAGCAAAGACCATCACGCATGAACCAATTAGAATATGGCACAAGCACATCGGGCAATCCAATACTTATGTAAAAATGCTGAGGTGGGAGAAGTAGGAGCACGGCTTCCCTGATCAAGTTGGGTATCGGTACAAAGTAACGAAGAGAAAAATGCATAGCCGAATATCTTTTTATCTTGTTTGGAATTACATAGCACTTAACTTCCAGCTGCAAAAACTTAATTCTTTTCACTCATACCTTTTATTACGGGCTTGTCTTAGTTTACCTGCTGAAGTTCAGAAGGGAGTAAATATTATTTTAACTATATTTTGGTGTCCTAGCCCTTCGCTAAACAAAATAAAACGATTTTTTTAAATAAGTAAGCTCTTTTTTCATTAATAGCTCCATTATCTTTCACTTGCTTTCCCCTATAATTATCTAACTTCTAAGCTAGCATGAAGTATTATGATTGCTATTATAAGTTTAGAACATATACGAGTTATAGTCTATTAGGCCAAAAATATATATTTATAATGCTTTTCCGGAGATCGGTATAAGTAGAATTTGATCATAAATAACTACGAACTAACAAACATGAAGTTCTGGGACAAAGTTACTCGAACTTTCCTTATTAAGAATAATGCACTTAGATAAATCATATGAAGAGATAGATGGGTCATAAAATTCATATGGTAATATAGATAGTATCTAAATGAAATTACACATCAGGAGGACGAACAAAAGTGGATGTGTCTTTCCCTCTGTGAACTAAGCCGAAAATTGCTGCTGGTACTTATGACAACTACTATGGCAGACGTCTTTCGGCTAGGTGCGTTCTACTAAGTCGCCATGACAACAGGACCAAGTTGCGACAACGAGGTCAACCCACTCGTATAAATCGAAAGGAGACTGCGACCATACCAAAGGGCATACCATCTTGGTCTTCATATCCTCAAAACATAGTATGCTTTTTAAAAGTAAATTACAATTAAAATGACAATTATATGCGGGGTATACTATAATATATGCGAAGAAAAGTTGGATTTCGAGGAATCTCTTGTTTCATAAGTGTTGAGCTTACTTCCATTTCGAGTGAAAGTGTTGGGTGAAGAGATTCGAAGGTTGGTTCCACCAGAAGACGACAGCGGTTTCCTCTTGACCAGCTGTCGATTGGCTTTACTGGAAAATTCATGCTGACGCTGTTTCCGAGGTAATCTCCTTCGATTCACCGGAATCGGAACCTCATTTTCGGAACTTGGTCGTGTTCTCAGGGCGACTTACTTAGGCGCTCCATGTACGAAGTTCTCTGCTGTAGTTGTTAGCACAATTCCCAGCGTTGAGTCGTGGACTTCTTACATTCCCAGACATTTCGCCGGCTTCGTAGCCAGCATCGTCACTGAGTACTCCTATCCCAACACCTAGCAACAACCCGTCAAATAGACAAATGAAGTTAATCCTTTGATCAACTTTCTGTCGAAACGGTTGTGCTATTACTCCTTTTTCCGACCTGCCACATCTAAATACTCCCTATCTTCCTAGCTCATGCGCACCCTATCACAACTTCTCACTTGTTTATATTCCACTCCTCAAGAGGTGTGTCCTTTTGACGGGTTCTTATGCTTGCAGATATCAAGCATTATCTTTAAAGGTATTTGAATTTAACCCGAGTACCCTAAGTAAAGTGTACCCGTCTATCTCTGGTTGTCTGGAGACTTCCGAGTCGATTTCTAGTCAATTTGGTCATAATGTCGAATTTATGTGACGTTTCTGATTATCCGTCTCCCTAGTCATGTCAACATCAGGCCCTCATATTTGTGGTTCTTTCTTCAAATAGACTATATTCAATATAAAAGTCTTCACTTGGTTTCCGAGTTTTCATTACCCGTTTTTCCTTTCGATCCCTTTTCTTCTGGTTAACAATAAGTCCTTGATCAAGGCGCTTCCTTTCTCGCTGGTCTTGCCGTATTCTTGATTATCCGAGGCTGCTTAAGCAATAGGCAAAGTTCTCGCTAACTCTAACTTATTCCAATCTGCTGTTCATTATATTTCTTTCAGCAAGAATGTTAATGGACTTCCTAATCTTCCGCTTCCTTGTGTTGTCACCGTATGAAGCCCTTTTCTTTGTTGCCTTCCAATTGATCGACTGCCCAGTCTGTGCGATGTATTCTGCTATTTCTCATCTTTAGGTATCCTTTTTCCTGGGGCACTTCGATGTTCCTTGATCCTTATTCAGATTTTTCCTCCAGTTTCGCCTATACATTTATGTTCGCAAACGCCGCATGCAATTCAATAAACTCTCAGGCAATCTGATTTGTTCACCCTCTTATATTGCGTAGATAGACTTGTGTAGTGTGCTGTTTTTTTCTTCGTAGTCATCTGATTATTCTATTTTCCTAGTATTGTTTGTAGTGATCGAGTTAGTTCGCATGAATATAGACATATCCACTTTTGTGACCCCATTGGAAATCCAAATATTTGTTCATAGAGGTTTTCTTTGACAAGTTTAGTATTCGTGTTAATGACTCCATTCTGATCCTTTCTTCTTCCAGGATATCTTCTTCTCAGTCCAAGAGCTCCAGTAAGACAGTTAGCGCTTTTTCTCCAGATATGTGTGAATAAATGGATTGTACAGCATAACTTACTAATAATCTTGTTTCTTACAGTGCCGAGTTTTTTATCCTTTGATAAATTTCATACGAATGTTTTATTAAAAAATCTGTCGTTTAATTTGTGTGCTGCTCCATACTTGTTGTTGACCATCAGCCTTAATGGTTTCCTTTCTTTGTATATCTCCGGTAATCCGTAGACTGTTGGTGGTCATTTATTCTATCTTATAATTAAATGTTTCATTCACGCATCAATTTTTCCTTTTTATATACATATTTTTCAGCATTTAACCCTTGATCGTTATAGTTGGATCCTTCTTTAGTATACGATAAGTGGTCTTGTCTTCTGTATACATTCGATCTTATCGTTGTATTGCTTTATGTCCATTATCACTGACTCTCCTCCTTTATTTGCCAGAGGGACTAATTGGTTATTGTTTAGTAATATTCTCCGTATCCTCGCAAATATGGTCCTGTTTGATGGATTCTGGTGTTGATATTCCTGGAATTAGTTCCATCTCCATTGCCCTTTTTTTCGCTTAGGGGAACTTGTCAGCGATATTGATGGCCTCAACAAGGATGCCTTGAAGAATGTTTCCGTAATTAAAAAGATAAAAGTTTAGCGCCTTCTTCAGGATCGTAGTGGTTTCGAGATAAAGTGGTATCAATGATAAATACACTACTTTATCCGGAACGTCGTAGTAATCGAAAGGCATTGTCACCTCGGAAACCAATTCACATTGACACACTGGCTTAACTTATGTTGTCCTATAGTCGCATACCTAAGCAACTTTTTGTTATGTCTCTTTGCCATTAAGTAAGAGATCCTATGTCATTTATTGTCGGCCACCCTCTTAAGTTTTTGAAAGTCTTGCGAAGTCAGAATCCTGGCCAGACCACACCGGAGCTTTGACTTATTATCTTTAAACCATAATAGTTTATTCCTATCCACATCATAGGTTTCTCCCAACTTTTGATTGAAGGCCTAAAAAATAATCACATTGACTCTAATCGAATGGTAGTGTCGCTTAAGTTTGCAGAGCCTAGGAATGATACAATAACGTTTAAAACAGTTCAAAATAGTGAGATAGAATGATTGACTTATATTTGGCTTCTTCAGCCAGCTATATTTAGTGCATTGTATAGTATTCTTACTAACGTAGTTTAAACATAGCTAAGAAGACAAAGCTGATGTGGCCTACATTTTGGTTGCAGTATCCTTTCGATGTATGGAAGTGATCTGACCTCGGTCTCGCAACTGGGTCGTGTTGCCAAGGCGACATCGTTGGACGCAGCTTTCCTGAAGTCCTCTGCAGTAGTATTTATCATCATTCATAGCGTCGGACCGTGGACTTGGTACATTTCCAGACATTTGTCTGAGTTCGTAGTCGGCTACTACTAAAAAACGGAATAATCAGGTGACCACGAAAAAAAAGCACTCTAAACTCGTCTACCTACAAAATAGAAGAAGATGAATAAATCAGATTGCTTGGGAGTTGATTGTATTGCATGCGGAGTTGGTAAACAGGAATGTATTGGTGAAACAGAAGAAAAAATCAGCATAAGAATCAAGGAACATCAAAGGGCCTCAGGAAAATGGATACCGACCATGGATACAGGCTATTGACATTAATGCTGAAAGAAATATAATAAACATCAGATTGGAATAAGACAGATTTAGCCGATTGCCTAAGCAAATTTTGAGAAAACAGGGATACAATACAAGCAAAAAGAAAGCGCCTGGATCAAGGACGAAGAAAAATAGATGGTGACGATGGAACTCATGCATATGCGTTCTCTTCGAGTGTAGTCAGCTAGAAGAAGCAACGACTGTGTAGGCCTAGTGGTCGCGGAACTATGGAGCGAATAATCAGAACCGTCACAGAAATTAGGCATCATAGCCAAGTTGACTATTAAACCACTCGAGATGCAGCGGGTAACCACAAGTAGAAGAACTGGGTTTCGAAGAATCTTACGGCTCTGATCAAACTGTGCTAAGTTTTCGTCTGTACTGTAACAAGCATCATCGTAGCAGGAATCTGTACTTCACAAAACAAAGCAAAAGTATACTAAAACAAGAGGAAAACTGCCCGACTGCAATCCTATTTGCCTCATTTATACAACTTACTCTACATGCTTGCAAATGAGTGAAGTTAATTTCCGAACCAGAAGTGAGTTGGGTGGCAGCTGTTTCCTTACACAAATACACAAAGTAGCGCACAATCTTCGAGTGTTTTCTCATGCTTGGGTTTGTGCTATTATCTCTTGTTTGTATGTAATGCTCATGTCATGGGGAGCGTGATAGTCCTAACTAGACGCGAAGTTAATTTAGATTCCTTGTCTCCTTCATTGGCTCCTCCTGGTCTCCATCTCTCGCCTTCTCATGAAGCCTATCCAGCAGCCACAAATAGTTCCTACTCAGTTTTCTACACTCGTTCCTCCTCTTCATGACGTTGGCTGTTTTGTTTATTTCTATAGGCTCCCTAATCTTACACATATAGAGTCAAAGTAGGAGTTATGAACTCAATCATAATAAGGAGTTTGTTTTGGTAAACGTAAACTACATGGACCTGGAGATAGGTAGATTGAGGCATATTTTTTTAAGACAATCACCTGATAGGACTTGTAGATAATTACATAAAAATTGTAAATAAGAAGCTGAGTGGGCATTGCTATCTGGAGTGTGATAGACAGTTGAACTATTTTACTTGGTTCCATATTTTGCCATTCTTCTAGGTCACAAAAAAGTTGAGTGATCTGCTAAGGAAGTGAGACATCATAGCCATGTATTAAGAGGAAGTAATACCTTCTTCAGTAGTTTCTTTGATTAGAGAGTTTTCTGATACTTTTTAGGGCTTAGTGGTCATGTGGTAATGTTTGTGGGGAAGACATGCAAGAGACTTTGCGAACACAAAACCGCTTGTAACGGTTTATGGGTCAAAGTATTTAAGCTCGCTCAACACACTCAATAGACTGGTCGAAAACACGTTTTCCGGGTTACGGGGACTTCCCATCAAAGCGTAAGATTAGGGAATATGTAGAAATAAATAAAACAGTCAACATCCTGAATGGGAGGAACGAATGAATAAAACTGAGTAGGAACTATTTGTGGCTGTTGGATAGGGTTAAGGGAAGGGAGTGCAAGAAGAGCCACTGAAGAAGAGGAGGCTGGATTAGCCTCGAGTCTAGCTAAGACTATCATACTTCCCAAGACATGAACTTTACATACAGCCAATAGGCAATAGCACAAGCCCAGACATGATTCAACAATAGAGGATCTTACACTAGTTTGTTGGTGTAAGGAAATGGTTGCCGCCGAGCGCACTTTACGTTCTTGAAATAACTTCATCCATTTGCAAGCATGCAGAGCAAGGCTGAAGTAGCTAAGCAAATTACAGGATGCCCCAATAAGATCGCGAAGTTAGGTGTATAAAAAAGGTGACTAGGGCTAGTTTAGTATACTTTTGCTCTATTTCGTGGAGCATGCATTCTTGCTCTGATGATTTGTCACGACGGAACAGACGAGAGCTTAGCACCGGTTTATCGCTGCAATACTCCTTTAGTTTTTGGTGAGACCAAATCACAAATTTGTCTTCGTAATGGAAACTGTCGATACCCGGCTTTTCTTCATAGCGTAGTTTTCCCAAACTAAGTATCATCGTGGATAAATTACAGCATCAGTCTGTAAGTCAACTTAAGCTATTTAGGAGGTTACGTTG